TGAAAAACTTAAAGAAATTGGACTCAATTGCCGACAATTAAAGCGTTTCTCAATTTCATTTGCCATGAATTCAGGATTCAGTCCAAACGGATACTTTGTAATCTTACAAACAATTAATGATAACTTTAAGCGATTAAGACGTTTAGAAATGAAGGGGTTTCCTCACTATTTCCCCATTGAAACACTGAATCAAATGAAACGATTAACACATTTATCACTTGATTTTACAATTGACGACACCTTCGCTGCCAATATTGGCAAATATATGCCACGACTTCAATACATAAGGCTTACAAAGACTATCAATCGGGAGTGTGTACTGAATTCATTGTCAAAATTGCCAAAAATTCAAACCATTATACTTGGAAAATGAATATAATGTAAACTTATCACATATTTGATATCAACAAGATGATTTAAAAATTGTAAATTAATTCGTTTACAATTATTAATTAAGTAATACTAATATCTGATTACATGAATTTATTATAACATTTGTTTAAATTGTCGCTTTATTTATAATTAAAATTAATTCTTTGATACAATTTATGATATGTATTTTTGGATATTAAAAAATAAATAATTAATAATTTGAGGTGGAATTGTTTAAATTTTAAAATATTATTTTATAAAGTGTATCTCATATTATGTTTGCCCGTAATGATCGTACCGACATTCACACCAATTTTACTCAAATGGCATTGAAATGCTATAAACATAGGACTGGTATGCAATCAAAAGTTGATTAAAATCATATGAAATTTGGGTTCAAAGTATACCAGTAGTTTAGAAAGGCTTTCTACTAAAACTAATCACTGATTAATAACAAGTTTAGTACTTTTGCGGGCACCATAACACTTAATGAATTTTATTTAACAATTTGTGTCATACATGTAGAAGTATTGGGTTTTCTAATTTTAAAGTGTGTTTTAGTAGTTCACCCAAACGTACCACAATTGTTCATTTTATTTATTCTTTCAATTGGATTCACATATTATGATAACTTATCAGTCAATTAAAAATGTATATAAAAGCAATTACTTGTGGTTCAAATATTATAAAAATATTAATTTATTTATTAATTAACAAAAATGTGTTCATTAGTGCCGAGAGTTTTGGGACTAAGTTTAGTGCGAAATCCCAAGTGTTTGACACATAATGTATGGAAACGATTGAATAGCAATGAGACGACCGGCGGCTATAACTTTGAGTTGACTTCAGAGCAGAAATCACTGCAAGAATTGGCCCAAAAGTTCGCCAAAGAGGAGATCATCCCTCGGGCCCCACATTACGACCAAACGGGTGACTTTCCCTGGGATCTCGTCAAACAAGCCCACGAGTTGGGCCTTAGGAATGCCGGTGTGCCCACCAAATATGGGGGACTGGGTCTCCGCCTATTTGACTCATGCCTTTTAGGTTTGTAAATATATTTATCCATTTCCTTGATATAAAGTTTAAAGTGGTATAAAGTTGTTTATAAATTAATTATCAAATTAATTTATTTGCATTTAAATAATTTTATACTTTATATTCACGTCTCTTAATACATTATTTAAATTATTACGAAAACTTAAGTAAAAGTATTTTGTTCGCAAATAACAGGCGAGGCTTTGAGCTACGGGTGCAGTGGTATCGGGACAGCGATCGGGTCCAACGCCTTACCCCAGGCGCCGGTCATACTGTTTGGAAACGAGGAGCAGAAACGGGAATACTTGGGACGTATGACGGGAGCGGACGTGTTGTGTGCGGCCTATTGCGTGACAGAGCCGGGCGCCGGCAGTGATGTGGCGGGAGTTAAGACACACGCCGTCCGTAATAAAGACGGCGATTATGTGCTCAACGGCCAGAAGATGTGGATCACGAGCGCGGGGGTCGCCAACTGGTACTTCGTGTTGGCGCGCACTGACCCCAACCCCAACGCCCCCAAGAGAAAAGCCTTCACGGGTTTCATTGTTGAGGCCAACAGTGTGGGTGTTGTCGTCGGACGCAAAGAGGATATGTTGGGTCAGAGGGCGTCCGACACCCGGGGCGTCACCTTTGAGAACGTGGTCGTCCCTAAGAGCAATGTGTTGGCCGCAGAGGGTATGGGTTTCCGTATAGCTATGGGTGCGTTTGATTTGACGAGAGCGCCGGTCGGTTGTAAGGCCGTGGGTTTGGCTCAGAGAGCGTACGACGAGTCCGTCAAATGGTGTTTCGAGAGACACACCTTTGGAGTGCCTATCCGTGAGCACCAGGCCATCCAATTCATGTTAGCGGACATGGCTATAGGCGTAGAGACAGCGCGTATGGCAGTGCGGAGGGCCTGTTGGGCCTACGACACCGGCAGGAGGAACACCTACTGGGCCTCCATAGCCAAGTGTTGGGCCGGGGATGTAGCCAATAGGGTGGCCGCGGATGCCGTGCAGATCTTCGGCGGCGCCGGTTTTAGTAGGGAATACCCGGTGGAGAAGCTGTTGAGGGACGCAAAGGTATACCAGATCTATGAGGGAACGGCACAAATACAACGGATTATCATCGCACGGGAACTCCTTTCAGAAGCTAAAAAGTTTTTGTAAACTGTTTGTGAGATAATTATGTGATAAATGTTACTGTCATTTATGATATCAGGCACATCTGACCAATGTTTGTAAATGTTATTTTTATTTCTGATTTTTATATTTATAGTGAGTATTAAAACGTTATGTTAATCTTACTTAAAGTGTGAAAACGTGTGAACACGTGCTAAACAACACGTGTTTTGCAGTCATTTGTCTCTGTATTGTGTTTTGTGTGCAGTTCTGTGAATATAATCTTCATTTGAATGCAATTTAATGACTGATAATAACGACTAAAGAATGTCCTCAAGAAGTCCAGCAAATGAGTCGAAAGTCTATCCCAAAGACTTTCGACAGATTTGGTGACGATTTGTGTGAACTGTTATTGTCTTATATGTCTCTCGAAGACCGGTTCCGATGTGAATGTGTGTCCAAACAATGGCAACGACTGGTATTCACCACACAATCAGAGCTTAAAATGAGTGCTCAATTGGCAGCGAAACTCAAGTCTAAAGATTTGATACAATTTGAGGCACTGCTGAAGAAGTGTTCAAATATTGAGTCGTTTTATTATATGAGAGAAATGCTAACCAATGATATGATTGAAGCGATTGTCAAATATTGCAATCATTTGAATGCAATTATCATTAAAATTGACGCCAATATTAGTGTCGATATAATTGACAAAATTGTGGCAAAGTTTGGCAAACAATTGCAAGTGTTTGACGTGATTGCAGATTATAGCCATATATCAAGTGTTGAGTATTACATGAAATTGTTTGAAAATATGATGAAAATCACTGAATGGTTAAACGCGAAGATATATCCATCGCACGAAGTCTTACTCCCGAAGCTAATGAATGTCTCGCTTTATTTCAACGTCCAAAGTATGGCTGAATTCAAGAGATTTACTCAAAACTATGAGATGTAATGAGGGGTCCATTGAAACGCTTATGAATTATTTGTCACAAATGCATGCATTAATTGATTTGTCCATTCAGTACAAGCATACTATTTATGGTCCGATGTATGCGTTGATTATCAAAATGCTTAAACAAATTGCACTCAATTGCCGACTATTGAAACGGCTGTCCATTTCGTTTGGCACTAATGCTATATTCGTATCGTTTGAATACTTGGATGTATTGCAAGCCATTAACGATCACTTCAGACAATTAAGACTGGACATCAAGCAACTTTATTGGCCTCATATTATAATACCCATTGAATCACTGAATCAAATGAAACGATTAACACATTTATCACTTGATTGTAACGTAAACGACTCCTTCGTTGACAGTATTGGCAAATATATGCCACGACTTCAGTACATAGAGCTTACAAATGTTGCCAATACTCAGGGTATAAGGAATTCATTGTCAAAATTGCCGCAAATAAAAAGCATTAAATTATCAGGCAATGAACAATTGGATGTTTAATAAATGATACAATTAATGTCTATCATATGCTCAATAATGTTAATGTAATATTCAATTGTGTTGTCTTTATAACACGATAATGAAAATAATTATAATTCAATTTATGTATCAGTACTTTGATTAACAAAATAATTAAAATAAAATAAATGGCAGTTATTATGAAACTTCAAGAATTTACCCTAGTTGACAATATATTTTTAAATGTGTGAATCAATTTATTATATTTTCCATAAGTGAATGCTAATTTATCTAACATACGGACATACCATTTGTCAACACATTATAACTACATCACTGGTAAGAATATATTTCCTAACGTAAACGACTCCTTCGTTGACAGTATTGGCAAATATATGCCACGACTTCAGTACATAGAGCTTACAAATGTTGCCAATACTCAGGGTATAAGGAATTCATTGTCAAAATTGCCGCAAATAAAAAACATTAAATTATCAGGCAATGAATGTATGCTCAATAATGTTAATGTAATATTCAATTGTGTTGTATTTATAACACAATAATGAAAATAATTATAATTCAATTTATGTATCAGTACTTTGATTAACAAAATAATTAAAATTAAATAAATGGCATTTATTATTGAATGTCCAAGAATGTACCCTAGTTCACAATATATTTTTAAATGTGTGAATCAATTTATTATATTTTCCATAAGTGAATGCTAATTTATCTAACATACGGACATACCATTTGTCAACACATTATAACTACATCACTGGTAAGAATATATTTCCACAGAATATTTACACCAGAAATTCAAACATAAATTATTTATACAAACATACATTCAATTCATACATAAAATCTAAGTTACATTTAAATCATGTTTGTGTGAATGTTTTATTTTGCAAAGCATTGCTTTCTGCTCTAATAGTATATTTATTTATTAAAACAAAAACACATATGAAATGCTAAACGTTAACTATTTGTCAGGAATTTTAAAGACTAGTATATTATTACCGATAATATATTATACTCTCATTTGACTGAATGGACACAAATCGATCGGCACTTCTTACTGCCATTCCCTTCATTTTCATTGAATTCTTTTATTCTGTGAATAAATTCTCTATAAATACCATAGTTTTCATAAAAAACAAATATTTTTTTGCGAAAATATTTTTAATATTAATAATAAAATATTCGCAGAATAAGTGCATAGAATCACAGTTTTATCATAGTATGCATTATTATATACAGGGTTAAATTTTTATTTTTTAAACAAGCATACTTATGTAACTTACTACTGTAGAGTGAACAGATTTCTTATGTAGGGTACAGTATGTATGGTATTAACGCAAATTAATTACAAAAAATTCTGTTTATTATAGCCTTGATAAATGAGATCATTTTAATAAAAATTTTCCAGAATATTGTTTTGAACAAAGATTATGAGTTGAAAACAATTTAAAGAATTTTTCTTTTGTGTAGTTTTTAGTTCGCTTAAAAAATGCTTTAGAAAAGCAGTTAATTATGAGAGCACTGGTAGTCAGGAAACAGAGAGAGAGAGAGAGAGAGAGAGAGAGAGAAAGAGAGAGAGAGAGAGAGTATGTATGCATGAGTGAGGGATAGGACTTAAAGTCAAAAATGATGACATGGGATGCGGTGGTGATGAGACGCATTGCAAACTCAATTCTAGTACTATTTTAGCTGAGCTAACGGTGCTCTGAACTGGAATGACATCCAAATAACACAAACACATACACAACTTGAGAGAGAGAAGGGGAGAGAGTCTCTCGAAGAATATATAAAAATTTTTTTTATAAATTCTCTCTATTATAGAGTCATATGAAGAGTGAGAATACATATACCAACAGCTCATACATACATAAACTCCTCTTCCTTTAAGACGGATTGTACTGAAGTGTTGTCTCAGTTTATAAAAGTGTTTATGTCTTATATTGTAAAATAAATATTTTGTGACAATATTATTAAATCAAAGTTATCGACAAATAGTAATATTTTTTGATCGCAAAATATAAATTCATAATTAATAATTAATACATTATTTATAAATGCATTAGCAATTAATGAATAATAATCGTAATGAAATTAAAGGTAAGCTTGATTAATAAGTGAACCATTTTATCATAGTTAATAATTAATAAAAAAAAGTTATTTTTGCAAATTTTCTACATACATCGCGTTTACATACAGAATATTCTGCGAACAAAAATTCTTGTGATAAATATGGCATAAAATAAATTATTATTTTTATTTAGTGATAACTTTGACAACACGACAAACAGATCTCTGTATTATTTCAAAAGTGCTGCTAATTTCGTGAATCAACTAATATTTACTAAATATTTAGATTACAATTAATAACTCCTCAAACTTGTTAAACACTAGCAATCAAATCAATTATATAATTATATAATCAAAACGATTTGTTGGACGCAATGACGGTTAGCTACCAGTACGACGTGGCCTCGTCCTCCACGGGAGGCTTTTTCCGCCTCCTGTGGCGTTGGAGGGGAAGTATATGGAAATTGCTGTACAAAGAGCTCATCCTATTTATCGCACTATACATGTTAATCGCTCTGTCATACGATTACTTAATGTCTGATTATTATAAAAGGTATATTCAAAATGTCTATTTATATTTATGATATCAAATTAGTAGTTTTGTGTTTTATAAAGATTTATTTAATTTTACATTTAATTTTATTATGTGGTGTGTCTATACTATTTACTCTACTGTATATTTGTTTAAATGAAATTTTTGTGAATATGATACTAGATCATTTATTTGCAATTATTGCAAATTTTAAACATTAAATTTGTTTAAACACAATATTTAATTTAAGATATAATATTTTATGCATGTTTTTATATTATTTCGCATATGCATATTTATGGGTATGTCAATATAGTAAAACACATGTTAATTGCTTTAAAAATTATTAAATTAATTTACGATTTAGTTTTTTTGAAGAAGCTTTGTATGCCTGCCCCTCCCCCTCTGGATTTAAGTAAGAATTTTATAACGCATTCCCTAATCTGTGTATAGATATATCTAAATATACTATAAAATAGTATCATATTTCATATATACTGTAACTAATTGTAGACTATATTAAGACACTACCACTGCTTCTAATGCCAAGGATTTTGAAAGCATTTTTAAATGCAATTTCATAAAAGTTATTGAAACACAAATTTTCTTCTTTCCCTTCATTTTAGTTCATATAAGAGTTTAAATGCAATTTTATGTACTCTCTCTCTCTCTCTCTCTCTCTCTCTCTCTCTCTCTCCTACTCTGATAACTGAAAACTGAATTAAAAATAGATATTTATTTCGTCAAAATTTACAACTCATTTAAATAAAACATTATTTTAATGTCAGTTGTAAGCGTACATTAAATCCATATACAAAATAATATAAGGAATTTATAGATAATAATCAGGAGTAATACAATTTCTAAGACATACCGATCCTTATAATTACATGGAATTATAGATAATCTATTAAAATGAAAATATTGGTATTTAATAAACAAAATTCTGGTGTAATACCGAGGGTAAACTGTATTGTTATACCATAAATACAGTGAAGGTCCATACCTTTGGCTTATTTGTAACTGAGCTAAACACTAATTATAGTCTAATTGTGTGCTATATTAAGGACTGAATCATAAATGTTGTATGATATCCAACAAATTGCTTAATGCATACATGCATTTAAGGATTTTTATTCAAATGTCTGACCCTTTCACTTGGTTTTTAAAATATTCACTTATTATTAGACTATTCTTATTGTACTAAATATTATAATGAAATTTATAAATAGAAGTTATTTCTGATGAATAATTATTTTAAAGTTTATAGTTTCAAAGGATTTGAAAATTAAATTCAATCCTTAAAACATTTTGCAAAACATTTTATACTATTCTGGCCGTAAATCAATTTATAAAAAATTTTTTTGAACTCCCAGTGCCATCCGACTATTTTTTAATAATGACATTTTCTTATTGCATTTTGAATTTCTCACAAAACTATTTATCCCATTAGATTGATAATAAAAATTATGGTTTATTTTGCCACAGAATATTATATTTACCCTACAGTATATGTGTAATTATTTTAAATTTAATGCTACAATAAATTTGTACCGTATAATTTATTTTAATTAAGTCAATGATAGATTTTACTAATTTATCAATTTATATTAGCTAATACTATCTAAATAAATAACTAGAATAACCATATGATATATAAATACACTTTTTATCGTATTTAAAGAATTTAAGAATATTTAACATCAAATTCGGAAACAAAACAAAAACATTTTACAAAATATTTTTAACGGTTAAGCAAATAAATAAATTAAAAATTATTGGCAATAAAATTAGGAAAAGTTTTCATTTTACATGTGAAACATATAAATATAATCACAAAATCTTTTTTAGTAACGCATTGGATGTACAGAACATTGGGTCTCATTATTATAAATCTCTGGTTTTGCTAAAAATATATTCATTTTAAATTAATTACCAGTGTATTTTGCAATATTAAAGTCTATATCCCTTTGCGTAAATATGACTATTATCCAGAAAATTATTTAACTGTTTATTGGCATAATATTGAATTTTATTTATTTTTAAAAAAAGGTTTATGCATTTTCTATAAACTGTGAATTGATATACCAAAATAAATATTGATATTTGATTTCGTAAACTATTCGGGGTATTCTGGAAAATAATAATTTTAAAGAATTTTGGTATAGGTTCAGAATAAGAATTTTAAGTTTAATTATTTAAAATAATATAATGGTTAAAAAATAACTTTGTAATATTATTCACTTTATATATCAAATTCATTGTTGAAATATAATACTCGGAGCGATGTCTGATTAAATTGCATGTAAATAAAAAATATATAATTATTTTGTTTAAAGTATATTGAGAATATTTATAAGATATAAAATGCATAGAATATTTGTGACACAAAAAAGTAACACATATAATATAAATATAAAATAATATTATATTATGTTATATAGCAGTGAAGTTAGTTTTTACGAGCATAAGTATATCTTAAATGTATGGCTATTTGCCAATTGTTGGCATAGAAATTTTTGCAAATTTATATATTTACTACAAAACAGTTCACTACTCATTTAGGCCCTCCATGTATGAGCTCTCACTTCTCTAAATTGAGCCCAGAATAGGGTTTACTTGTATTGAAATTAGGGGAGAGAGAGAGAGAGAGAGAGAGAGAGAGAGAGAGATGAATGTAAACATAATAATAAAATCATTTTATTGTTTCCCAACCAATAATTATAAATAATTATGAATTTAGTTCAAAAATTCTAGACAAGATGCACATAAAATAATTTGTGAATATTATGTTTCTATAGTATAGAGTATTAAAATGATTGACCCCTTTTTATTAGCATTTACTGTATTTATAACTAACTGTTAAACCAATATTTATTTATACATCAATAATCCGACAAAATATATACTTTAAAGCAATAGAATGCATGCAATTCTTTAACCACAAAAACTGCTATTCATTCACACATTTAGAATATTCTGAAATATATAATAAAAAGTGTTTTATTTATAAAAATATCTGTTAACAAATGGGACACTCAATAAACTGAAACACTTTTTTGCGTATAAATCTATAAATAGACTGGATCTGTTTTTATAGATATCTTAATTATAGACAATAAGAATGCCATTTGTAATAATCGTATCGTGATATATTAACGATATGAGCAAATAATAATTATTTGACCATATTTATGATTGCAGATATTTTGAGCGCATTGTGATATTTTGTTCAGGGTTCGTCGAGATAATTCCACTTTCATTTATTCTGGGCTTTTATGTGTCGTTCACAGCCACCCGTTGGTGGCAACAATACATGGCCATTCCATGGCCTGACAAGTGAGTGGTCATACATTGTACATAAACATTTATCATGGTTATCATTTTTAAACAGTCTAGAACTAAATATTTAGAATAGCTTTATGTCCAACAATTGCAAATTCATAGATTTTATATCATATGGGTATTTAGATTATATCAGTATTATTTATTTATTTAAACAAATCTGGATTACAATACTTGACCTTTGTCAAATTCAAGATTAGTTATACAATACATCATAATTAGCCCTACTTAAATAAATTAAAAAAACAAAATACTCTAAATATAGATTATTATTATTTAAAATATCAAACAATACGCCAATTCTTACGTCAAACAAAACCCTATTATTAAATGTCTGCAACTTTAATGTCTATTGTATTCTTATAATGAACTTTCAAATTGTGTACACTTTGCACATACTTTTCAAACCACACGCTCTGTTAGTAACAAAAATCATTAAATTGTTGCACAAAAATTAAGTATATATATGAATTGAAATGCCTTGAATATAATAGCTAACAGAATATTCTGTCGATTGTGTATAACCTATGCGTTAGGCTAATGAACATCATTGCGCTGTACGTTCCGGGCAGTGATGAGACCAGTCGTATACTGCGGCGCACACTAATGCGTTACCTGAACCTGACCCTGGTGCTCGTACTGCGCTCCATCAGCATACCGGTGAAGCGCCGGTTTCCCACCAAAGACCACTTGATTGAGGCGGGATTCATGACCAAACCCGAGCTCGAGATGTACTCATCGGTGCCGTCGCACGAGTTCAACACGTTTTGGATACCGTGCACGTGGTTTGTCAACCTATTACGGGAGGCCAAGTCCGAGTGCAGGATCACCGACTCCGGCGGCTTGAAGCTTATTATGGAGGTATGACTCGCACAGACATCATTTATTTAAATATATATTTATACCTCGAATATTTTCATATGCAATACTAATATAAATATGAATAGAGTTTTAAGTTTTATTTGTTTTGAATGCATCAGGAATTCAATGACTTTCGATCCAAATGTGGTCTACTTTGGAGTTACGATTGGGTCAGTATTCCATTGGTTTACACACAAGTAAGTAATGCTTTATTATCAGACAAAACTATACTAGATACAACAACTAGAAATTTGACATTATTATAAATTAATAGGAATCATTTATTAATTATGCTAATATCCGTAATAAATTACATTTTAAATAAATACGAGTAGGAAACATACAAATATTTTACAGTTATATTATAAGTGTAATTAGTTCGTAAGTGATATATAAATCTCATTAAGAAAGTGACATGTTTAGCACTGTTTATGTATTTCTATTTAAACCTGAAATAACATAAAAACCCATAAGAATGTAATGCGTTTGAAAAGTATCTAAAAATACTTTCTTTTTGACTCAAAAAACTATTTTAATTTTCCATTCAAAATAATAATTTAATGCTTAAAATATTTTGTAAAATGCATAATATTTTTAAAGTTTTTCCGGTTTTAATATTTATTACTTTGTTATTTTAAACTCTAGTCTCTCTCTCTCTCTCTCAATTTTTACAATTATTATTGCTTATGCCATCCCTGTGCCCATAGGTAGTGACCCTATCAACCCAGGCATTCTTCTTGGCCTCACTATTGGGTCGACAGCACATACATCCNCTCTAGTCTCTCTCTCTCTCTCTCAATTTTTACAATTATTATTGCTTATGCCATCCCTGTGCCCATAGGTAGTGACCCTATCAACCCAGGCATTCTTCTTGGCCTCACTATTGGGTCGACAGCACATACACCCTGCGACTGGCGATAAGATCCTGGTCCACCAGTACGGCGAATACTACTTCCCTATATTCACATTATTGCAGTTCATTTTGTATATGGGATTACTTAAGGTAACGGCGCTCACAGCCTATTCAAAGTATGCTAAAAAACTTATGATTAAACGGACAGTTAGGCGAACAACTCATTAACCCTTTCGGCGATGACGACGAAGACTTTGAGCTAAACTGGATTATCGACCGACACGTGAAGGTGTCGTTCCTGGGGGTAGATATCCTGAACGCCGATCCCCCGCCCCTTATGAAGGACCAGTACTTCGACGAAATGGATATCAAACTGCCGTACACTGAGGCAGCCGTCGCCCATAAAGTCAAGACATACCGGGGATCAGTCGCCGCATACAAGTAATGACCTAATAGTCTGAATACCAGTTTTAAATACCTCTCTCTCTCTCTCTCTCTCTCTCTCTCTCTCACCCCTACCCCTGCCCCCCTCCCAGTGTGCCGACTGAGAAGCACGCGCTGGTCATCCCTGAGTTCGACGACGAGCAGAGTAACGGGTCGGACGACGACAACTCGACAGTCCATAGCAGCCAACAGCACAGCCATAAGAGCTCCGTTTGGACTGTTTTTCACAAAAAGCAGCCAAAACTGAACGAAAGCCAAAGCATACCGTCGCTGGACTCGGAGACAATGGTCGAGTCCGGTCTGAACCCTCTATGGCAGGGCTCTCTCGGATCGGTGGACACCCAGCAGACAGATATGACGACCGTCACCACCGGCTATGGAACTGATAGGAGCTCTCAAGGTATCAGGGGGTAAGATATTGGCCCCACATTTGTTTTAAACAAACACTAAACTCCTCATTAATTAACTATCAATTACAGCCTATTTCTGGTCATAATTATGTAATTCATGATATTATAAAAAACTGATTTGATTGTAGACAATCTTTTGAATTTTAACAAACATATTCTTGTTATAAGTAGATTGCCTTGATTATAATTATAGGTAGAGGTAGACTGTAATAATTGATTCACATTTGAATTGCATTTATACTAATTAATACGTTTTGTTTTTTAATTCAATGTAAAATACAGTCAACTACGGTACTACAGTGTACTAAATTAATTAAATTGTATTTGAGATATAACACGGAATATACTTAAATATGTTGATTTGTACACTATATGTACTATAAAAAGTTGACTGCATTTTACAAATACCATAATATTTCAATTGACTCTTCATGACAGGCCGTACGAAGTGCCCAAAGCCAAGGAATTCGCTGTCACTATACCAACAGCAAGGTTTGCGAGTGAGACTACCGGCGCCCACTCGCCGTCGATCACATCACTCGATGTGCCACTTCTTAACCGCCAGACTCTCAGCTATGGCGCGACACCTCTGCGCAAAGATAGCGGCGCTCATAAACCGAGCATTTCGAGCGTCACCGGTATCCCAGGCCTCAGTCCCCTCCCATTCGGCGGGGGAACGGGTGGTGCGGNGAAAATCTCGAGTAGTTTTGATGTAAGGATTTGTGAATTATTTTGTTTCATATTCTGGACCTTGACTTCAGTATCAATACGACTCCGGAATCCGTTAAGACATCTGAATGGTATGGGAAGCGATCATCTATTATGTTGTCCACCAACTAATCCATCAGATCTATCCTTATCTCCATATCATGGGCTCACAGATGGTTGCAATCAGTGGCCGGTATTTCTGTGCCCAAAGACCTGACGGCGCTCTGTAGGACCGGGGCTTCCATTTCATTGAAAACATTTGATAATTGTATTGAAAATAATTATTTGTTAACTTTGTTGACATCGCAGAGCTAAGTCTTATCGGAAAAGTCTTCGTGTGATCTCCGATGTGGAAGACATCTACGATCACTACCGGCGCTCATATGATCGCTGGCAGTACTACTGGCGGTGCTGGTGGCCAGGGATGTGTTGGAGGGCGTGGGCTCTGTGAACGTAATTTGCGGCACATTCTTGTCATACATAATGTCCGGCAGTAGTTTGACATCCAGTGCCGATGTGTAAGAATCCATGGATGAGTTGCTGTTGTTGAGAAAGTCGGGGAAGTCCTCCCTGTCCTCCGAGATCTGCATGAGAAACGAGTTGGCCGTGTGATAGCTCGCTGTATCGCTCTCTGTGGACGACTGACGCGGTTTCATGTCTTTCCGTTTCTTCTTAAACGGCAAATCAAACCGAAATAAATCGCGATTCTGTTCGTCGGTTCCCGTGTTGTCCTCAATGATGGCTACAATCACTTCTGGCTCCTGGAGTGGCGCTAAAGGGGCGGGTGGTTGCGGGTCAGGCTCGGGCTCCGGCTCTTTGCTACAGGACTGACGCTTAAAACTCTTGCGCCGTTCGGTCGTCCGATCGGATGTAACCCTTTTGACGGACACCCGTCTGGCCAGCGATGGTGAGCCCGTTTGCACTGCCAGTCCCTCCTGTGTGCATAACACCTGTTCCTCTTCGAGACCTTCCTGTATGTTAGGCAGACTTTGATGGTGGAGCCAGTTCTCGTTCTCGGGGGGCAGGGCTGCCGACGCCATGGACTCGAGTGGGGTCTGCACTAAGATCATCGACGGGTCCAACGACTGCCGGCGCTTGTCGATAGAGCTGACGGACAGCGAGGCGTCGGCCGGTATTTCTAGCATAATATGTGTGGCCGCGTACCGGAGCTGATCGGCTATGGACTGTATCTTATGGTCGGATATCTCGGACAACTCGGAACTGCTGTCGTGTTGTGGTTTGGGTATGAAATACACTAATTTGTCGACTTCTTGTTTGTCGCCCTTTTTGGTGTCTTCGCTGAACGTGACCCTCGACTTGAAGGGCCGGATCCTAATGCGCGGGTCGACCATACGGCTGCCCTTAAACAGCGATGACTTGGGCACCTTTACCTTACGGGCGACACTGCTCTGAGATCGTTGCACAGACACCACGTCGACCACCCGTTCGCCTACAATCTGTTGGACGGATTGAGAGAGTTGTGGCACTCCGACGACCGCACCACCCGTTCCCCCGCCGAATGGGAGGGGACTGAGGCCTGGGATACCGGTGACGCTCGAAATGCTCGGTTTATGAGCGCCGCTATCTTTGCGCAGAGGTGTCGCGCCATAGCTGAGAGTCTGGCGGAATTCTTCACCGTGTAGCTCACTACACTAGCTGCCGCTCACCCGCGGCCATCAGAGTGAGCGTTTGGAACGACAACCATATCACTGTCGCTTAAGGAACCGAAACCCGTGAAGCATGCCGGACAGTAGAAGAGTCAATTGAAATATTATGGTATTTGTAAAATGCAGTCAACTTTTTATAGTACATATAGTGTACAAATCAACATATTTAAGTATATTCCGTGTTATATCTCAAATACAATTTAATTAATTTAGTACACTGTAGTACCGTAGTTGACTGTATTTTACATTGAATTAAAAAACAAAACGTATTAATTAGTATAAATGCAATTCAAATGTGAATCAATTATTACAGTCTACCTCTACCTATAATTATAATCAAGGCAATCTACTTATAACAAGAATATGTTTGTTAAAATTCAAAAGATTGTCTACAATCAAATCAGTTTTTTATAATATCATGAATTACATAATTATGACCAGAAATAGGCTGTAATTGATAGTTAATTAATGAGGAGTTTAGTGTTTGTTTAAAACAAATGTGGGGCCAATATCTTACCCCCTGATACCTTGAGAGCTCCTATCAGTTCCATAGCCGGTGGTGACGGTCGTCATATCTGTCTGCTGGGTGTCCACCGATCCGAGAGAGCCCTGCCATAGAGGGTTCAGACCGGACTCGACCATTGTCTCCGAGTCCAGCGACGGTATGCTTTGGCTTTCGTTCAGTTTTG